TGTTTGTCTGACCAGAATATTTTGGGCCTAACCCATGAAAAAAGGTGCAAATGGGTTGGTTACAAAGTCTCGTAAAGGCAAGGAAAATGTTCCTTTGGGTCGCAGTTTGCAAGCTTTCTCTACAAACGTTAAAGATGCAAAAAATCAGTAGTATCCTAAGGTTGATGATCTTAGTTTTCACACATTATATGTTTACGAGTACAAGATCCGTGTACTACATGAGTGTCTATTAAGAATTTTTATGTCGAAAATTTAAAATAATAATAAAAAATTTTGTTCTAATTTTCAAATATTTTTTTAATAACTATATTACAGTTTATATTTAAAATAACACTCATCACTTATATACGGGTTACCATCTTATATTATGATATTGTTTAAAATTATATCATTTAAAACTTTATAGTTAAATTGAACTAAATAATTTTATTTCTTTAAAAAAATAATAATAGGTAAATTAATTTTTATTATAAAGATAAATATAAGTATTTATTTATTTTGTGTACAATATAGGTGTCTGGTAACGTCGAACACCCCGACTGGCTGGAAATCGAATTGCCTCCTTCCTCCTCGCCAGTAGAACGCTGAGTACCTGCAAAAACTCTCACACCAGAGGGTTTACCGGTGAAGAGCCTCCGATGCTAAGTCAGTCTCAAGCTCTACTCAATTCTCACGAGTAAAAATAGATAAATCGTGCTCAAATCGTAAAGTCTACCCTTATATATAAAGTTATTTGCTTCTAGATTGTTGCCCATATAAGCTGAGCTGGCTGGCCAACACTGTTCGGCCTGCCCGTTCGTACAACAAACATTGTGCGTGTAATACATAATGGATCTATTAGGTCACGCCACGTGTCCTCCGCACATGGGACTTGTTCTCTTTGAGATCTCCCCGAAGGCTCTTATGCTCGACCAACTTTAAATCCACTATATATTCTGAATCTAGAGAGTGGTCGATCTGACGACACTCTGTGCGACAGTTCGATCTTCGACTAGATCCTCCACGGATCTAGGACCGACCTGCTCTACATGTGCCGAAATTCCCTGCGAGTTGCCTCTCGATCTAGAGGCTCTCGTGTTTTGGATGCTCGACTTCGACCATAACCACCTTGCTCAGGTTCTGTTCGACCAGAATGTTTTGTTTGGTTTGCTCGACCAACCTACTAGACCGGTTTATTCCTTGAGATATTATTCTTATATCATCTATATTCCCCCTCCCCTCCTCCACCCCTCCCTCCCCCCAAACCCAATTTGTTCGAGTCTGAATGACTCGATCCCAAAGTAGATTTACGTCTATTCGAGCTGCCATTGCGTCCTTTATCTATCGACCCCTTGATCGATGCAAATTTATTATTCGGCTTTTTGACAACTCTTTCTGCATTTCAGACTCAAAGCCTGCCATCCATTACATCCGTGAGGCGTGCCCATCATTACCCAGTGATTTGCGCCTCCTCGTACTTCGCACCAAGTAGAAGTATTTTTTCACCCATGCAATTAGATCGTTTTAATCCAATTGTCGCTTTGTTCATCTCTTCGCCTGATGTTGTAAATATTTTTAACCGGAGTAGAATCCGAAGATTCGACACCGGGTCGTATC